GCAGCGTGTCAAATTTGTGTACATATTGAGGCCTGGAGCATAATAGACAAAAACAATATGTGTGTTGTGGGTGTTTCTCTTTTAATATTCCTGAATGTGGCTGCATTTGTGGCCTGCCTTTGCAGACTTTCCCAGACACCTTCCAGCACCGGGAGTGTGTGTGATAAGGTTACATCATTCTAAGCCCCTGGAACTCTTCCCTTGTTTACCTGCCACTGGAAGTCTTCCTTTGTTCTCTTGTTTCTCATCTTACTTTATGGAATCTAACGATCTGGCATGGTTGAAGAATGACTTCTATGTGGGTGGCAATTACTGTTATCTACCTCTACAGAAGGCAGAACATAAAGAACATAAAGAAATTGGCTTAAGCCATCACTTCGTGGTTTAGATGACATTGGAAGAGTCATTGAATGAGTTACAAAGAATGATTGAGGGCATTCTTTCTCTGATTAGCTTTACAACTCAATGGATTGTCTACAATGAGGTTTGAGGGAGAGGAGGTATGTTAGGTGACTCACTCCCAAGACTACCCTGGACTTGATTTTTCAGTGTGACTCTAAGTGCCTTTTCCAAGTGATAAGCATAAAGGAGCTACATAAACAATTTAAGCATCACACTGTTTCAGATCCTAGCTCTGCCAGATACATTTCAATCATATATGCTTGTTTGCTGTGGTGGATGAAGCTGGAGTCTTAGCCCAAGGCTGAGTTGATGGGATAAATGCGAAGCTAGTGACTATTAATATATTATATAAACACCCTTCCTCATTGAGAGATTGGATCCTACTTTCTAAAATATTTGTGTTTCTCCGAATGATGCTTTTGCTAAATTATAGATGGTGTTTATTAGCTCAGATAGCTGATTACACTTTTTTTAAAAAAGATTTTATTTATTTATTTGACACACAGAGAAATCACAAGTAGGCAGAGAGGCAGGCAGAGAGAGAGGAGGAAGCAGGCTCCCCGCTGAGCAGAGAGCCTGATGTGGGGCTTGATCCCAGGACCCTGAGATCATGACCTGAGCCGAAGGCAGAGGCTTTAACCCACTGAGCCACCCAGGCACCCTGATTATACTTCTTTTTTTTTTCTGATTATACTTTTTTAAGAAAAAAAGATTTTATTTATATGACAGAGAAGAAGGAGAGAGAGAGAGCACATACAAGCCTGGGGATGGGGAGGGGAGGAGCAGATGGGGAGGAAGATGCAGATTCCCTACCGAGCGGAGTCCATCTTGGGGCTTGATCCCAGGACTCTGGGACCACGACTTGGGCGAAGGCAGATGCCCAACTGACTGAGCCATCTAGGCATCCGTGCTTACACTTTTATATCATTGTACTTTTCCCGTTAAAGTGTTGAGATGTTATGGCCATAGCAGTTCCATTTTAGGTTAAAAAAGGGGGAGTCCTGTGAAAAGGAAAGAGAAAGAAAGGGCAGTGTGAACGAAGCAGAGGACACAATGTCAGATATATAGGTAGTGCTTGCTGTTAGATCTTTGATTGTATAGTTAATTCAATTTTCCACTTTGGTTTAAGCAATTTATTTTATTCTCTCTTCCCAAAGAGACATCTTCCTGAATTATGGTTTTATTTTATTTTATTTTATTTTTTTAATCCCACGAATCCTTTGCTCAAATGTCTGGTGAATCTCTCATGACAATGGATTAAGATCTTATTCTACCAACATCCCTGACTTCTTACAGCCTAGTTTTTTATCCAGCCCTTGGAACCTTATGTCCCATCACTTTCCTTTTGAGTCACTCTTCCAAAGTTGGAGACCCATCGTTCCCTATCCTCTGAATATATCTCTACTCTTTCTAATCCTTGAGCATCTGATACTGTGTTATTATTACACTTCTCCTCATTCTAGCCCACTGTATTCTCCTTTCATTATGGAATCCAATAGTATTTTTGTCTTTACTTTTGACTTGGCATTTATTTTTAAAGTTTTCAACAATAAAACCATATACGTATATATGGTTTTATATATGTATATATATATATATATATATATATATAACACCATTTATAGTGTTTATGATATGCCGGACACTGTTTTCAGTACTTTACATGAATTGACTCATTCAATTCTCAACAGCATTTCAAGATTATTATCCTTATTTTATAGGTAAGGAAATGGAGGCACACAGGGACTAAGTAACTTGCCCAAGGTCATATAGCTAGTTACGTGGCAGATCTGGAATTCTATACCAGGCTGTCTAGATTCAGACTTTGTTTCTTTCTTTTTTTTTTTTTTTAAATATTTTATTTATTTATTTGACAGACAGAGATCACAAGTAGGCAGAGAGAGAGGAGGAAGCAGGCTCCCTGCTGAGCAGAGAGCCTGATACGGGGCTCGATCCCAGAACCCTGGGATCATGACCTGAGCCGAAGGCAGAGGCTTTAACCCACTGAGCCACCCAGGCGCCCCCAGACTTTGTTTCTTGATCACAGCTCTAAACTACCATTAATAAATTGTCTTTTTAGATGTTTCATTCTCATAAAGTTAACTTCTTTAAGTCAAAGACATGGTCTTGTTGTTCTCTGCTTTGTGCCTGAAACAAGGAGTTTGCTCTGTGAACATCTGTTTATTGATGTGACCTATTATTATTATTACATATTTTTATTTTTTTATAGATTGTTATTTTTAAGTAATCTCTACACCCAACGTGGGGCTTGAACGTATACCCCTGAGATCAAGAGTCACACGTTTGTGCGCCTGGGTGACACAGTGGGTTAAGCCTCTGCCTTCGGCTCAGGTAATGATCTCAGGGTCCTGGGATCAAGCCCTGCATTGGGCTCTCTGCTCAGCAGGGAGCCTGCTTCCCCCTCTCCTTCTGCCTGCCTCTCTGCCTACTTGTGATCTCTCTCTCTCTGTCAAATAAATAAATAAAATCTTTAAAAAAAAAAAAAAAGAGTCAGATGTTCTACCAACTAAGCCAGCCAGGAGCCCTGATGTGACCTGTTGTTATCAGTGGTCAGTCGAGTTCTCAGATTTTTCTAGGAGTTTTGGCTTTGTTGGTTTGACTTGGTGATTTTATCTCGATACACTGGCACTCCGTTCTCCCTCTAATTACTGGTGTGATGTGGTCAGTGTGGCTGCCAACAATTCAAATCTGGGGCTTTTGTTACCTAAACAAATGGTACTTAGTAGTGGGTGACTACTTAGGTGTGCAAAACCAAATCTCAAATTTTGCTCTTTGCTTCAAAGTAAGTATTTTAAGTTTGTGTGTTTGTTTTCTTAAGAGCTATTTTGTTACTTTTGGATTTTTGATGTCAGATAAAACGAGAAAGAGCAGCCTATACTTCACTTTCCTTGAAATATTAAATCCTAAAACCACTTAATTTTATGCGGTTCCTCTTTGATTTCTTTGGAGAAGAAAAAGCTCTTCATGCAGGGAAGAGTGAAAAGTTGGTTATGCTGAAGTTACTTTTAGTCAGTACCCTGCACATACAATGTCTCACCTTTAAGATCACCTTATCTCTCCTGGTAAACACAGGCTACATAGTCATAAAAGCTGACGTCTCATGTTGTTGAAGTTTATTTTCTGTGTTTCTTTGATCTGTTTCTAATGGCATACTGCTTGATAAGATAGGAACTCCAAACCAGATGTTTCTAGTGCTCTCGTGGTTACAAAGGTGCCTTTGTAATGGTCGGTGATATAAAAGCTATCTCTGGATAATATAATAAGAAAGTATTTGGAAAAGTATTGAATAACTTGTAGAATCCAGGGGACAATGTCAACCTCCAGGATAACCATAACAACTGTGGAATCTTAGGGTGGCCAGGCAGGAGTGTCTTTTAAGTTTTGGCCATTGAAATGGCTCAGTTCTGTTTCCTTCCCATGCTCAGCTCAGGATTTGTGTTCTTTGGAAGGGACTCAGATTTGCTCTTAGCTTAAGTCAGTCAGGTGCCCATTTCTTAGTTGGGGTGATTGATTGGCCACCAAAAACACATGAAATGGGAAAGGAGTATTTCTAGTTACCAAAGAAGGGGAAATAGGCCACACCGACAGATGCCCATTTCTAACAAGGTTCATCTCAAAGCAGAGAGAATTTAAATGATAGTTTTAGCTTGGACAGTGAGAGATTTGGACAGTACCTGAATTCAATCACTAAATTATTCTTCTAGGTGGAAAATCTTAGCAGTTTATTTCATTAATCAACGGATGTTTTATGCTGAATTGTGAAAAAGTGATTTTTTTTCTGATCACATTTTAAAAAGATTTATTTTCATATTCATTCTATTTTCAAATACATACAGAAATATAATAGTATGAACCCATAGTAGCCATTATCCAATTTCAAAAATTGTTAACATTGTGTCAATCTTGTTTTTATTGATTGCATCTTCAAGGATTATCATAAGATGTTTTTACAACTGACTATCTAAAAACTCACAATATTCACTGTGAAGTCTGAGAAATGCTTTCTAAACATAAATCCAAACATCAAATGATTACTCTCATACCAAAAAGTATGTTGCCAGTTAGAACAAAAGATGGTCCTGTGTAACATTGATGCAGTGTTTACCTGGAAGTAGAATTTTCTTTCAATCAGGAAGGCTCTTTTTACTGGTTTAAGACTGGTGAATCAGTTCCTCAGTGGCTCTTTCCAGATTATTTTTCCCAACTTTAGTCTTCTGGTCCTTGGAATCTTTGGGAGATGAATCCGAGGTTTTATTTGACAGTAGATTTTCTTTCTTTCTCTCTTTCTTTCTTTCTTTTTTTAAAGATTTTATTTATTTATTTGACAGACAAAGATCACAAGTAGGCAGAGAGGCAAGCAGAGAGAGAGAAGGGTGGGGGGGGAGGAAGCAGGCTCCCTGCTGAGCAGAGAGCTGGATGTGGGGCTCTATCCTGGAACTCTGGGATCATGACCTGAGCCGAAGACAGAGGCTTTAACCCACTGAGCCACCCAGGCACCCCTTGACAGTAGATTTTCTGAATGCTAGTCTACATGTGTACTGTTTAACAGCTAAATGTGCTCTAATCTCTCTTTGCAGTTGAAAGATGCATGAGTGTGATGCAGTCCGGGACACAGATGATCAAATTGAAACGTGGGAGCAAAGGGCTAGTCCGGCTCTTCTACCTGGATGAGCATCGGACCCGCCTCCGATGGAGACCCTCGAGGAAGAGTGAGAAGGCAAAAAGTAAGACCAATCTTTGAATTCTTTGCTTGACTTGATATAGTTCCACATGGGTTATATTTGCTGGGCTGTCTGGAAGCTTCAGATCTATGAAACTCTGATATTTTTGTAAGTTTTGGGATCAGTTGCTAAAGGATGCAGACAGACTGAATAAGTAATGACCATTTTGTCTTTTTAATTCCTTGGGAATTTTAATCCATAAAAGTTTTCCTGTCCATGTGAGTGCTGTAAATGTTAATATTTCCCCTGTGCTGGAAACATGATTTATTTTTTAGCTGGGATATGAGGTTTTATAGCCTGAGGCCCTTTATTTATTTATTTATTTTTTTATTTTATTTTTTAAAAAGATTTTATTTATTTATTTGACAGAGAGAGAGAGAGAGAGATGGTGAGAAAGGGAGCATAAGCAGAGGGAGAAGCAGGCATCTCGTGGAGCAGGAAGCCTGAGGCGGGGCTCGATCCCAGGACCCCAGGATCATGACCCGAGCCTAATGCAGATGCTTAGTGACTGAGCCACCCAGGCGCCCCTATTTATTTATTTATTTTTAGTAAAAGGTGAAGGGTATTATAAATCCAGTGGACTTAAAAGTGTATTGCCATATTCTGAGCAAAGCTAACTGACCAGTGAGTTAGCTTTTAGTGATACCAAGCAAAAGAGCTTTGATCTGACCCCTACTGAAAGTCTCTCTCCCACACCTCGTACATTCAGCACCAAGTTGGTGTTGGGTCCTGTGTAATGGCTCTCTCATCTCCTTCCTTCCTGTTTTCATAGGAACCTCCCTGGTCTCTGGTCTCTTCACCTATCTGGCCTGTCGAGAAGTCTCCTAACCAGTCTCCATTTTGCTAGTGTCTTCTGCTTTTGTCTGTTAAGATGCTTTCATCTTCAAGTAGCAGAAGACATTGACTAAATTAGACTTACATGAAAAATAAAGATATCATCTCATGTAATAAGAAACTCAGAGATCGGCAGGTCCAGGTGTGGGATGTTGAGTCTTTAGTTCTGTTTTCCTCAGGGCTCTTGGCTCTCTCCCCTGTATATTGACCCTGTCGTCAAGGCAGCAGCAACATGGTGCTTCCTTTTTAGGAGAGGGGAACCCCTTTCCAGAATTTTCTCTCAAAGCCTACTGCCCCATGTCTCCTTGGTTAGAACTGCATTATATTCCCACACCTAAATCAATCATAGGAAATAGGAATGGGGCCTCTCCAATGGCTTAGACATTCCAGAACTTGCCCTGGGGGCTGGGAGAGGCAGGGAGGCATTGGCTCATTTCTCTGTGAATTGTGTGGGGAAGGAGTTGATACCAGAAGAAAATTGTGGCTTTGTCACAAAGGCAGAATGGAGGAGATGATATTAGAGGCAATCAGTAAGATTGCAATACTTCTGATTCACGCTTTAAAAACAAGCAAGCAAACAAAAAAGTAATATTCTAATTTAAGTAATTTTCCCTGTTAGTGCTTCTCTGATCCAAATCTGCAGTGTTGTTCCATTACCTAAAAGATGCTCATCTCTGGTCTCTTATTCCAGGCTCTCTGTGATCTAGCCTCTCCCTACCTTTCTGGCTTTATGTCCCATTATACTCTCTCTTCAGCTTTCCAGTCTTGCACAAGTGACCTATTTAACATCCCTGGAGTGGACCTCATGTTTCTGTATCCTATGTTTTTCTTCTTCTGGGATACCACCTTATTCCTCTACCTCTCTAAGCCCTGCTCGACCTTTACCATCCTGGCGTTCTTTCTGGAGATACCAATCACATTTAGCCATGCTATTCAGTTACCACCAAACGTTTTTTTCCTTCCAATTTTTAACTGTCATCTTATGCACAACTCCAAAGTTGGTTCTAGGTCTTTGTATGTTTTCCCTGTGCAAATATGCAAGCTGTAAATTTGATATATTCATAGTCTCCTTTTCTACCAGTCTTTTTGCCCTGATCTGTATATCGCTCTTCCTATCATAAATTTCAACATGTCCTGACTCAGTGCTTGGGAAGGCATGGTCCAGGCTGCCCAAGGCTGCCCAGGAAGGTAAAGTGGCATGCGGAGAAGGTTCCTAGCGGGAAACGATATGGCTTGTATTTCACATTTGAACTTAATACCACAGTTCACAGACAGTGAATTTGTTCATGCTTATTTTTTTTAAAGACTTATTTATTTGAGAGAGAGAGAGAGAGAGAGAGAGAGAGAGAGTGTGTGTGTGTGTGTGTGTGTGTGTGTGTGAAGCAGCAGAGGGAGAGAATCTTCAAGCAGACTCCCTGCTGAGTGTGGAGCCCAATGTGGGGCTTGATCTTAAGACCCAGGGATCGTGACCTGGGCCGAGACCAAGAGTCAGAGGCTCAACTGACTGGGCCACCCAACCATCCCTGTTTGTGCTTATTTTTAGAATTTAAGATGATTTTGCTGCTTTTTAAAAAATTTTTTCCAAATCCATTATGCCATGTAACTGTGTGTTCTGCTTTCCTCAGTACTTATCGACTCCATTTACAAAGTCACCGAAGGTCGGCAGTCTGAAATATTCCACAGACAAGCGGAGGGCCACTTTGACCCCAGCTGCTGCTTCACCATCTACCATGGCAACCACATGGAGTCTCTGGACCTCATCACCTCCAACCCTGAGGAGGCCCGCACCTGGATCACAGGCCTCAAGTACCTGATGGCCGGCATCAGTGATGAAGATTCCCTTGCCAAGAGGCAGAGAACCCATGACCAATATCCTTCCTACAATGTTAATGTTGAGCTGTGTGTGTGTGTGTGTGTGTGTGTGTGTATTAGACCGTGTCTTATTTTTCCCTGTAGTTTTGAAGCCACCTTCCTCCCTCTCTCTCTCTCTCTCTCTCTCTCTCTCTCTCTCTTTCTTTACCCCTAGCACCTTTCTGCCCCCTCCTCCCTCTCATGCCAAGTAGATGAATGCACAGAACAGACAGAAATGAGCTGGCATGAACTCAGGCTTCTTAGGAGGAGACTGAATTTAGCTTCACAATCTGAGAGGTCTCCAAATGCAGCCTAAAGTTTCCTAAGAGAGACGCGGTAGCTGGGAAGGTGTTTATTTGGATTAGAGAAAATCCTGCTTTGTGATCAAATCAGTTTAGTTTAACAGGTACTCTTTGAGTTCTAATTACATATGAGGTATTAAGCTCCTTCCTGCTTTTTCTATCTCTCTTTTTAATTTACAGTATGGAAACTGATGGATACGGAAGGGGAAGTTATTTTTTGCTTCATACCATTTACCTTCTCTGAATTGTTCAAGAAACTAGGGACTCATCTGAGTGTCCTTGATGAAGCCCATTCTTGAGGTCCCGTGCTGACCAGATAGTTAACCTCCTTGGTCTGGAGACACCTCTTGCGCTGGTATTGGCCTGGTCATGGGACATGGACTTTCTGGCCTCAATTTCCTTATCTGTAAAGTGAAGACAATAGAGTTGTTGACTGCTTTGATTCACTTTATCACATTTTTTTTTTCCCTAAAGAAGATTTTATTTATTTATTTATTTTGGAGAGGGAGTGAGAGAGCACCAGCAGGGGGGTAGCAGGCAGAGGGAGAAGGAGAGGGAGAAGCAGGCTCCTGGCTGAGCAGGGAGCCTGACTTGGAACTTGATCCCAGGACTCTGGGATCATGACCCGAGCCGAAGGCAGATACTTAACCCACTGAGCCACCCAGGCGCCCCCTTTTTCACATTTGTCATGGTCTGAAAATACATGTGCCCCTATCTATGAAGGGAGTGGGACTACTTCCTTGCTGTCATTGGAACGTATGCCCTAATTTTTTCCCCCCAGAGTAGTGATAAATTTATGCTGCTCTAGTTATAATTCCTCACCCAGGGTATTGTTTGAGCAGAGTGGAAATATTCAGCCCATGAAAGGAATTTTGACAGTGTGAAGGTCTGAGCTGATGAGCCATGATGTTTTCATCAATATTCACAGCATGCAGATAAAGGCAACTGGGATTTATAAGTGAACAAAACACAGACATAGAAACTAACTTTCTGTGCTTTATTCTATTAATTTAGTTCTTAACTCCTTAACATTTGGTAAAAATACAAACAAAAATATTGAATAAAATTGCTTTCTGATATAAGCCACGGAACCGTACTGTGTCCCAAACTGAAGGAATATTAATTTTTCATGAACAGGAGAGGTGAGATGGGGCAGTTCACGGGTTGGTTAATCGTGGCTCGGTGGTGTCATCAGAGACCGGGGTTCTGCCAGGCTCAGCCTGTTGGGGTGGTCCTTCAGCGGCTGCCCCATGGTCAGACAGAGGTACACCTGCTTCAGGTAGGAGCTCCAAACACAGCACTGCTCCGAGGGATCATAGTTTCTTCTCATAAATCTTTTTTTAAGAGCAAGGTAAATTTTCCCAGCCATGCCCTCCTCCCCGCACCCCCGACAAGGACTAAATCTCATCATTGGCCCAATGGCTGTTCTAGGCCTATTCCTAAAGCAGTCTTCAACAACATGAACCAATTAATATAATTGGAGCTCGAGACTCTTGCACTCGTAAAAACTGAAAGGGTTTTTGTTTATGTGGGTTTCATCTATTGATACTGTCATATTAGAAATTAAATCTGAGAATTAAAAAAAATATTTGTTAATACTCTTAAAATTATAATAAACTGGGGCACCTGGGTGGCTCAGTCTTTAAGTGACTGTCTTTGGCTCAGGCCATGATCCTGGGGTCCTGGGATTGAGCCCCGCATGGGGCTCCCTACTCAGCGGGAAGTCTGCTTCCCCCTCTCCAACTCCCCCTGCTTATGTTCCTTCTCTTGCTGTGTCTTTCTCTGTCAAATAAATAAATAAAAATCTTAAAAAATAAAATTATAATAACCTATTACATGTTAACATATTTTTATGAAAACTATTTTTCAAAACAAATTAGTGAAAAAGAATAGTGTTCTTTCCTCTTTTGCAGGTCTCTTCAATGTCTATCTGAATAGAACGCATGTATTTTCCTATCCGCTTCTGCATTTAATCTGTACGTTGTATTGTTTTGGTGGAAATACATGAAGAAAATTTAGCCTCACAGATAAATGGTTGGAAGCGGGGGGGGAACTCCTGGTTAGGGGAATGCTTTGGATTCTACTTTGGGGATGGCTGTACTAAGGCCAGTCAAGATTCACCTTCTGCCTCCATGGGAGCAAATGGTTCTTGCATACCTGAACAAAACTGAAGTTCTTCAGCAAGGAAGAAGGAAGGAAAATGGTTGTCGGGAAGACAAGCAATTGTAGAAGTGCTCTCCTCACCCAGTTAACTCGGACAAGTTCACAGTGTTTCAGAGCTTTTAACCATGTATATTAATGCCTCTCATAAACTCTGAAGTAGACCAGTAAGAGCCGATGGGCATACTGTTGTTTTTTCTAAATGGTGGCAAAATTTACCCCTTCACTAGATCGTTCTAGTTAAGTGAGAAATGCATGCTTATTGCAGTAAGCCACAGAATATAGAGCTGCATAACAAAAAGATCAATTGTCTTTATCCCTGTCTATGAATTTTGTACCCACTCTTCCAAGGTTACTGATGTTAACAATCTGATACACCCCCGACCGGGTTGTCTGCTTTTCTGTTGTTGAATTTTGAGAGTTCTGTATATTAATTCCTTATTAGTTACATGGCTTGCAAACCTTTTCTTTTATTCCTTCTTGATAGTGTCCTCGGTGCACAATATTTTTGAAGTTTCATGAAGTCCAGTTTGCCTGCTTTTTCTTTTGTCACCTGTGCTTTAGAGTGTCATACCCAAGAAACCTTTGCCAGATTCCATGCTGTGAAGATTTCATTCTGTTTTCTGTTAAGAGTTTTATTGTTTTTGGTCTTACATTTATGTCATTGATTCATTTGAATTAATTTTTGTGGATGGTATTAGGTAATTATCCAACTTCATTCTTTTGCATGTCGATATCCAAGCTTTCCAGGCCCATTTGTGGAAAAGATTTTTTTTTTCATCAACTGGTCTTGGCGGCCTTGTCAAAAATCATTTGACCATAGATGTGAGGGTTTATTTGTGGGCTATTTTGTTATATTGGTTTATATGTTTGTCTTCATGCTAATACAACACTGTTTTGATTACTGTAGCTTCAAGATAAGTTTTGAAATCAGGAAGTGTGAGTCTTCCAGTTTTGTTCATTTTCAAGATGGTTTGGCTACTCAGAGTTCCTGAATTTTAGGATGGATTTTTCTATTTCTGCAGAAAATGTCATTGGTATTTGGATAGAAGTTGCATTGACTCTAAGTTGTTTTGGGTAGGACTGACATTTTAACTAAATCGTCTTCCAGTCCATGAACGTGGATTCCATTCAGTTATGTCTTCTTTAATCTCTTTCAGCAATATGTTGTGTTTTCATTGTGCAAGTTTTTGACCTTCTTTATTAATTCCTAAGTATTTTGTTATTTTGATGAGATGTACATGGAATTGTTTTTGTAATTCCTTCTCAGATTGTTAATGTTCATATACAGAAATGCAGCCAATTTTTGTGTGTTGGCTTTGTATACTGCTTCTTTGCTGAATTCATTTATTCTAACAACTTTTTTATGGAGTCTTCAAGGTTTCCTGTATATCAGATCATATCATCTGCAAACAAATAATTTTACTTCTTTCTAACTTACCTGCCTTTTCCTTCTGCCCTTCTTTCCTTCCTCCCTTCCTTCTGCTATGCCTAAAACTTAGTACTCTGTTGAATAAAAGTGGTGAAAGATGGCATTTTTGCCTTGTTCCTGATTATAGAGGAAAAGCTTTCAGTCTTTCACTATCGAATATATTTAGTGTGAAATATATTTTTCATACGTGTCTTTTATTATATTGAGGTAGTTTTCTTTTATTCCTTCTGTTTTGAGTGTTTTTATCATGAAAAGGTGTTGAATTTAGTCAAATGCTCTTCTGCATCAGTGGAGATGATGATGTGGTTTTTTCCCCCCCTTCTTTATGTTGCTGTTGATCTATTCTCTTATGTTGAACCATTGGTATATTCCAGGAATAAATCCCTCTTGGTCATGGTGTATAATTCCTTTAATATACTGCTGAATTTTATGTGCAGGTATCTTTTTGAGGATTTTTGCACTACTGTTTCTTGGTCTGTATATATATATTTTTTCTTGTGGTATCTTTGGTTTTGGTATCAGGCTAATACTGGCCTCATAGAATGAGCTCGGAAATGTACCCTCTTGGATTTTTTTGAGAAGGATTGGTGTTAGTTCTTTTAATGTTTGGTAGAATTCAGCAGAGCTGAATTTAAGTTTAAGTATCAGATATTGAGTTTTCTTTGTTAAGAGATTTTTGGTTACTGAGTCAAGCTCCTTACTGGTTAGAGACGTATTCGCATTTTATTTTCTTTGTGATTTAGTCTCTGTAGGTTTTGTGTTTCTAGGATTTGTCCATTTCATTTAGTTTATCCAGTTTGTTAGCATGCAATTTTTCATAGTACTCTCTTAAAATCCTTTTTATTTCTGTAGAATTGGTAGTAATGTCCTCACTTTTGTTTCTGATTTTAGTAATTTGAATCATTTCTCTTTTTTTGTTAATCTAGCTAGCTAAAGGTTTGTTAATGCTGTTGGTCTTTTCACAAAGAGCCTACTTTTCATTTCATTGATTTTTCTCTTGTTTTTCTATCTCTATTTCATTGCTCTTTCCTCTAATCTTTCTTATTTTCTTTTATGCTAGCTTTGGATTTAGTTTGTCTTCTTTTTTTCTAGTTCTTTAAGATGTTAAGTTGATGGTTAATGTG